TGCTCAGCATTCAACGTGCGGAAGGCTAGTCCTGTACAGATTTACACCCTCATCTGATGGGGAAGGCAGTGTGCCCTGGAGGGTAGAGCATTGGACAAGGACTTGGAAAACCTAGGTCTAGTCCTAGCTCTTCCAATGGCTGGGTGACCTTGGGCAAATCACTGCACTTCTCTAGGCTTCCTTTTGTAAAGTGCTTTGAAATTGACTGATGCAAAGATTATAATAAATAAACTCTAATTATGATTAATTATCCAATATAGTTTGGGGGTTGCGGGCAGTAATTCAGCCACAGCATCTCATTCAAAACAACCTCCTGTTCTGAACTGGGTGTTTTCATCATGGATCAAGGCCTTTTTCTCTTTGTGACAGGAACTTTGAGCTGCCGTGGCTGGATGAACGAAGCCGCTGTCGGCTGGAGATGCAGAAGAAGCAGACGCCTCACCGAACGTGCAGAAAGTAGCTGCCCGGGCAGCGTTGCGATGGACTTAGCACGCCATTGGCAATGGCTGGCAAGGAACTATTTGTTTTTCAGTCCCGTGAATCTTTACCCTCGTGGATATTCTCATTCACTGATGTTTTTCTCCATGCCTCTGTATTTTTCCCATCCTTCTGGTTTTCACAAAAACTCTTTACCTGGCTGATTAACTGTGGTTTATTTATTTCTTTCCCCTCCCGCTTTCCTTAGCAGCAAGTTTTCAAGCTTTATGCTGGAACAACAGGGCTGGAAGCTCAGACACCTTTTGCTCTCTGCCTAAGCTTCATTAGCTGCTGTGGCCACTACAGTTCATAAGAGGCCTTGTGAAGGTTGGGAAGCCTAAAAACAGGCCTGCCTTGTGACCCGTCCCACCTGCAGGTCCCCGTCGGTGATGCCTGTGTGTTGGCTCAGTGTGTGGTGCTCGTCACCTCTCTGAAGCTGATGTTTATTTTCTTAGAAAGACATTCAGCAGCGAGAACTTGCAGACGGGACCAGCAGGCAGAGTTAGGCCAAGCTTGTCACGCTGTCACTTTGAAACTCTGTGGTGAAAAGAACCCACCTAAGAGGAGTGTAGATTTGGCTGCAAATTCCTCTTGCCTGACAGATCAGGCTTCCAATAGGGTGCCTGTGATGTGCTAGATAGGTCTTTTTTTTAATAAATGGGTGAAAACTAACTTCATGAATGCCCACTTCCCCTGAGAGAGGCTGGCAGATGGTTCTGAATGTGCCGTGTCTCACTGAGCGCGGCTGGTTGAGCCCTGCGTCCCATTGTCGCCACAAGACGCACCCGGTTAGTTACCTGTGTCAGAAATGGGTTAGCTGCGCATATTCTGTAGCGAGACTGCCCTTGCTCGAATCCCAGGGTGAAAGTGCTTCTGCAGATGAGACTGTTTGCCAGCAGCTATGTCATGTTCTAGACTGAATGGGTATCTGGGGGGGAGGGTTTTTTAAACATTTTTGTTTGTGAAAACAGAATTCGAGACGCACAATTGTGGTTCATTTTTATTTAAATGTTTAAGGACAGCACTGGCTGGCAATTCATGTATCTTGTAAACCGCTTGGATTGGCTAGAGGAAATTAGAATGGTGCCTACGCTTTAGCTCTAGTAATTCGCTTCCTTTATGAAATGAGCCTTCGTTGCTGTCCTACACTAATGGGTGATGCCAAACGCTCTGGTATAGGTGTAACTAGTGCTGAAGTCTTGAGCTGAGTGTTTTTTTGTTTTTGTTTCTTTAATTTGGACGACACATTCTCAGTCGCCTTTCAGGCTTTACAGCAGACTGGAGTCAAAGCAGGAATGTTTGGTCTCTAAAGAGAGAACACCTGTTACTCTTGTGCACAATGCTTGCCTGTCTGATTGCTCCTCAGTTATTGTCCTACTGCTGACAGGTGTGTGGTTGCGGGGAGGAGCTAACTTCATTTCTGAAGATGTTAGCGGGCCAGGGAAGAAATGATCCCCTCTGGTTGTTCCTTTTGAGTTCATAGTGTTGTCTAAGGCCAGCAATCTTCTCTCCTTGCTTTGGTTCAAACGGCTATAAATAGTAATGCACAAATACAAAATGTGGGTTTTTTTGTTTTTTTTCTTTTCCCCAAGAGCTGGGGTGTATTCTTATGCAAGTTGGAAGAGAGGCTGGTTCTTGCTACATGGCAGTGGGTTATGCTAGGGTTCCTACAGTAATGGTGTTTGGAAGAGGGTCTGAAACCCACCTAAAAGGGGGAAATCTCTTGAAGCATGGGCCCTGGTACCACATAGCCTGTATAATTAGGGCTAGGCACTGTTTTTTTTTTTTTTTTAAATAAGGCTGTTCTTGGGTGTCCTGCTTTCGCATGATAGCGTGTGTCCTTTAATGGATTTCTGTGCAATTAGGAGCCAAAATGTTAAATGGGCAAATATTAGCTTGAGCCTTGTTTCTTTTCTTGATGTTGTCTCTTTCAGGTCTGCATCAAGCAGGTTTTGCATTCTGGTTATACCCTGCATTAGTGGCTTTTCAGGGGTCAGAATACTTTTGAGTCCCAGTGACAGCCAGCTCTGAGAGGTATCTGCTGGCAGCTGCTTGACCTCAGACTTAAGGTCCCACTGGCCATAGCTCCCAGTGCAAAGCCGGTTTTTAAACACTTCTTCATGCTGCCATCCAGACAGGCAGCCAGGTTTTATAAATGATCCTCTTTAATAGACATCTATCCAGCAGTCATCAGCTACAGATGGGGGTGGGGGAGGGGGCAGGGAGTACGCTGGTGGGGAAGTACAAAGTAAAATTTTCAGTGAGTGTTAATGTGGAAAAATAGTCTTATTTCTCCCAGTATGGGCTACAACACTGTGAAATCCAATCTGCAATGGAAGGCCCTGCAATTCCCTATTAGAACTGTTCTTTGGTTTCAAAACCTTGCTTTCTTTAACCAAGTTTAAGCTAGTGTAAAAATAAAATCTTAAAAAAAAAAATTAAAAGCTTGTCTGTATTCTTCAGCCTTGTTTTATGGCCATTTGACACATAGTTGTCTGTAATGCATACTTTTGATACCATTTCTAATGTGTAAAATCGGTCGTCTTGTAAATATCTTATAAAAAAAGTTCAGTTGTAAATAAAAACTATTGTGGCTGTTAATTTTTTGAATTTCTGCTTCAGTTTGTTAGAATTAACAGTGTTAATGGGGAGTATTAAACAATTCTGCCTGTATGGTTAAAAATTTAAACAAATCAAATTTTTTTACAATAAAATAGAAAAAAAATCTACATTTTGTGGTCACATTTGTCTCAAACCCTTTATACATGTCTTGTTTGGAAACATTGTCACACCCAATTAAAAACGCAGCCTGCCTCTCTTGCATGCTTCGTGTCTCCCATGGAAATGATGTTACCAGTTTTAGAAATGTCGGCGGGTGCTGCTGTAGCTGGCTTAGAACTAGGCAGATTGGAAGAAACTGTCTATCCTTGATGCCTTGTCTTTCTCTCTCTTGGTAGTGGTAGAAACTACATTAAAGATCTTTCATCTGACAGGTTAAAGTCCTAACCAGTTAGCCCTCAATTCCATAGCCAAATCTGTGGGACCCACTGTTCAAATGTATGGAAAAAAACTTAAAAATTTTTCCAGAGACTGTTTGTATTCTGACTCCAATTTGCTCTGAAAGACATCTGCCAGAACCTGCTTTGGCTCTTTAAAAACTGCCCCTTGGTCTGGGTCAGTGCGTGGTGAGTGCTGAATGGCCTGTTGCCAAATGCTAGTTTAATAAATTCTGTAGGGAACAGTCATTCTGCTTGCTCCCAGTTTAATTTTTTGTTCTCTTTACAAATCTTTAAGCAAGTGGGCGGATGAAAAGGCAAAGACCGTGGCTGCTGTTCATAGATAACAGCTGAGCACGGGGTGTACCTCAAGTGCTGGAATACCAAATGCTGGAAGAGATAGATGAACCTATTGTGGAATATGTGGAGAACCACCTCATGTTACATAGGGTGAACAAGTGTGTTAGGTAGATAATGACGCAGGGCATGTGTGGTCAACGTGCCTCTGTTGTCTGCTTCCAGTGAAGGCAAGTGCCACACTTTATCATGGGTGGTGCCAGTCATTTCACCTCCCTGTGTCTCCATTTCTTTCTGTGTACAACGTGGATGACTAATTCCCTACTACCCCCTACTTAGGCCCAAAGGCCCAGCTACTCAAGGACAGGTGGGAGTCCAGCTCCCTCTCATGTCAGCAGCACCTAAATGCTTTTGAACTCCTACTGAAATCAATGGGCATTTAGGCTCCTACCTACCTCGGAGGAATGGGGCCAAAGTTACCAGCATTTCACGCTAAGGCGGGCCTCCCTGGCTTTCCTTGCTGGAAACTGATACGCGGGACCACAGAAGGAGCGTGAAATGGAGCTACGCGTGGGAAAACGTAGGTGCGTGGTTGTGCAGGAAAGTGTGTGTGAGAGGGGTTGTCGGTGTCCAAAGCATAATGAAACCTTTGTGCGTAACACGCCCAGCTAACCCTCGGTTGTTCACTTCGCTTGCAGTGGTCTCCTGCAGCAGGGGCGAGCCCCGTAACAGGCCAGCCCCCCCGGTGTATTAGTGGGCCGGGTCCCAGACCCGGGATCTGACCCTTGTCCTTTCCCCCCGGGGAAGTGGGTCTGATTCCGGAGGGGACCCTAGGCCAGCCCTGGCCAATCGGGGGGGGGAAAGCGCCCAGTAGGGGGGGAGCGCGCAGTGGGGCTCTTTGCACTGCACTGGGGTCTGCGGAGGGAAGGGGCTGCGATCTGCCCCAAGCAGGGCAATGATGTCATGCCAGCATGACGTCATCGTGCGGTCACAATATGACGTCATAGCCCCGCCCTCCCAGGCGGGGATGGGACCGCCCCACGCTCAGTGACTCCCTGAGGGCGGGGCAGGTAGCCCGGCTCTCTTGCAAAGCATTCTGGGAGCAGTGGAGCAGGCTGCCCGGAAATAGAATTTTGACATCCCCCCCCCCAGGGAGGGGCCGGAATCGGGTGCCCCCGCGGTGCATCCTGGGAGCTGTAGTCCGCTCGCCGTCCCGTCGGTCCCTGCGCGCTCCCCACCCCCAACCCTCCAAGATGGCGGACAGGCGGCGGCAGCGGGCCTCCCAGGACAGCGAGGACGAGTCCGACTCGGCCGCCTCCGACAGCGTCGACTCACCGGCCGGCGCGGCCCGCTCCGGCTCCCCCGCCTCGCCCCCGAGACCGGCCCGGAGCGCCGCCGGGACCCTGCCGGCCGGGGGCCGGGGCCGCGGGGCCGAGAGCGCGGCCGGGGCCGCCAAGAGCCCGCAGGAGTCCGAGTGTGTGAGTGAGGGGGCCGGGGGGGCGCGGCCTGGGGGGGGCTGGAGCGGTTCCGGCGGGGGGCCCGGTGAGCGTCCCGGGGGGGGGGGCTGGAGCGGTTCCGGCGGGGGGCCCGGTGAGCGTCCCGGGGGGGGCTGGAGCGGTTCCGGCGGGGGCCCGGTGAGCGTCCGGGGGGCTGGGGCTCCGTGGGGGGGTGAGCGTCCTGGGGGGGAGGGGCTGGGGCGGTTTCGGGGGGGGGTGAGCGTCCCTTGGGGGAGGGGCTGGGACCGTTCCGGGGGGGGTCCCCGAGAATGTGATCGAGGCTGGGGCAGGCCATTGGGCTCAAAATGAGCCGGGGCTGCCTGGAGGGGACTGGCCCTGTTCAGCATCTGGGGGGGGGGGCGGGGTCTGAGTGGCTGGGGGGCGCTTGTCACCTCCGTGGATTGTGAGCTTGGGCCCCCAGAGAGGAAGGGGGCTGGGCGGTGTGGGCTTGTTTCCCTATTGCCAGGGTGTCGCCCATCCGGGCTGGGGACAGGTCTCTTCCCTTGGTGTGTTGAGGCTTGGGTGGGGGGGAGCCAGTGTCCTCTCCCGCTTGGTTCGGGGGGCAGGCTGGGACTTGCTTGTGGAACAAATGCGGCTGACTGAGCCCCACGGGGCAGGTCCGTAAGGGGAGGTGACTGGGGCAAGCATGTGGTGTGAGCGGGTAGCCTGCCTCCTGGCCCTTTTTGTAAAACCGAAGGCAGTTCAAGGGAAGGATGCTAAATACCACCTGGGGCATTTGCAACCCAAACATAACACCAGCATGGCTTGACCCTGAAAGAGAAACTCTTGGTGCTGAAGTGAAATGCTTTGCCGTGGAGCTCAGCAAGGACGGGTAGATGTCTTTACATTCTGTTGTTTCTGATCATCCGAGATGGTGGTAGTACTGTGGGGAGGACAGCTTTGTTTTTAAAAAAAGAAAAGGAGTACTTGTGGCACCTTAGAGACTAACCAATTTATTTGAGCATGAGCTTTCGTGAGCTACAGCTCACTTCATCGGATCTGATGAAACATCTGATGAAACATCTGATGAAGTGAGCTGTAGCTCACGAAAGCTCATGCTCAAATAAATTGGTTAGTCTCTAAGGTGCCACAAGTCCTCCTTTTCTTTTTGCGAATACAGACTAACACGGCTGTTCCTCTGAAACCTTTGTTTTTAAAGTGATACTGAACTTGACAGTATCCTTGTCAAATGGGTGTGTTTTTAATAACTTCCACTTTCAATTTAAAGTAATCATTCGCAACAAGAAATGTGTAAATAGGCAACAAGCTTATGGGCCCAGCATCCTAAAAATCTTGCTAAATTTCCCTCATTCAGAATAGTAGGGCTGAAGTATTTAGAGAGGAATTGATTAGAAACCCTGGATTCCATCTCCTAACCCTTCCCCTTATCAAACTGATCTTTGCTGCACAGTAAGATTTAACTTTGTTAGTCTGTGTTCAAAGATCTTATTTGCAACACACACCCCTGCTGTCCTTCCTTCATGCACATGCTACAGAAATGACTTAAACCATTGATCCAAACAGGCAAGGTAACAATTAAGGGGCAGAATAGTAGACAGTTCTTTCACATCCTCCTTTCACATCCTCATACATTAGAGTAGGGCTGGAACCACTATTGGATTGACTTGAAAAATTATGTATCAGTAATCCTTTTTCATTCCAGGACCATGTCTTTCCTCATCTCTTTCCACTGTAGCAGTAAAGATTGTACAGACACTGTTGCTCAGGTGATTTAGTTCAGGTGGTCTGGGACTGGACTTTAGATTAATAACTCCATCTGTTGGTCCACAATCCTTTCTCATGAAATTTTACAGCTAGTTAGCAAAGCTTAACGTGATTATCAAGACTGACAGGTCAGCTGATAAGTGTATTGTTTGACCCCAAATAAGACTTCAGAGAAATGTAAAACAAACGGGACTCTTGAAATGGATTCAGTCAGGTAAAATGGTGTTGAGTGAAATTGTGTTAAAATTTAATCTTGTGTTTTTGTAGCTTGTCAGCCATATGGATACCACTGTGTTTACAACTTTCAGTGACTGTATACATCTCAGCTGAAAACACTCTTTCTGCCTTGGCTGTATGCCTTTGGTGGACTTAACAATTCTCTCTCTGGTTTTATGTTTCTGACATGCTCACGGAATTTCTTGTTTGCGTTTGTCATTGTCTTTTCCTCATCAGGAGGCCAGTAGTATAACTCTTAGGGGTTGTATTTGTTCTGTCTTCCTCTTTTTCAGTAGATTTTTGTGATCTCTTTTAGGATATTGCTCTGCCCACCTGTCCAATCTAATTGTTCTTCCTATGCAGTTTATAGACCGGTATTATAGTATCTTGTCATTCCATCAGACCTATTATGCCACTTTCCTATTCTGTTTTCGGGCATGTTCATTGTTCACCTGTTTTTGCTTTTAGGCTTCTCATTAATATATAGACAGTTTATTTTTGATCATGAGCCTATTTTATTAAATTCCTTGGTCTGATACTCTGCTACTTTTCTGGAATTTACCTCTGTGATCTGATCTCCTCTTCCAGTTCAGTCTTAATTTCCGCCCTATTCTTTACTGGATACAGCGTAACATTTATATTTCTGACCTCTTTAGCAGTCGTGTGTCTGAGCTGAGTGCTCCTCAGCCCATGTAGGCTGGGGGAAAGCCACTAATTTAAATAATCCCCCAGTAACCTTCTGAGCCAGCAGTCTGGTTCCAGTTTTATTAAGGGAGCCCATGATTTCTGTGTAGGCTGCCTCTTCCTCAAAAGATCCATAGTGATTAAAGGTTTCAGAGTAGCAGCCGTGTTAGTCTGTATTCGCAAAAAGAAAAGGAGTACTTGTGGCACCTTAGAGACTAACCAATTTATTTGAGCATGAGCTTTCGTGAGCTACAGCTCACTTCATCGGATGCATCTCTAAGGTGCCACAAGTACTCCTTTTCTTTTTGCGAACACAGACTAACATGGCTGTTACTCTGAAATGGGTGTTACGTTACACACTGTAACCACAGTGATCGCTTAAGGTGAGCTATTACTGGTGGGGGGTGGGTGGGTGGAACCTTTTGTCGTGATAATCAAGGTGGGCTATTTCCAGCAGTTGACAAGAACTTCGGAGGAAGAGTGGGGGGTGCGGGGGGGGGATAAACAAGGGGAAATAGTTTTACTTTGTGTAATGACCCATCTACTCCCAGTCTTTATTCAAGCCTAAATTAATTGTATCCAGTTTGCAAATTATTTCCAATTCAGCAGTTTCTCGTTGGAGTCTGTTTTTGAAGTTTTTTTTTTTTTTTGAAGAATTGCAACTTTTAGGTCTGTAATCAAGTGACCAAAGAGACTGGTTTTTGAATTCTTGATGTCTCATTTGTGTCCATTTATTCTTTTACGTAGAGACTGTCCAGTTTGGCCAATGTACATGGCAGAGGGGCATTGCTGGCACATGATGGCATCTATCACATTGGTGGATGTGCAGGTGAACGAGCCTCTGATAGTGTGGTTGATGTGTTTAGGCCCTATGATGGTGTCCCCTGAATAGATATGTGGACACAGTTGGCAACGGGCTTTGTTGCAACCTATCCTGAAGGATGACCCATCACTCTCACAGATCTTGGGAGACAGGCCAGTCCTTGCTAACAGACAGCCCCCAAACCTGAAGCAAATACTCACCAGCAACCACACACCACACAACAAAACCACTAACCCAGGAACCTATCCTTGCAACAAAGCCCGTTGCCAACTGTGTCCACATATCTATTCAGGGGACACCATCATAGGGCCTAATCACATCAGCCACACTATCAGAGGCTCGTTCATCTGCACATCTACCAATGTGATATGTGCCAGCAATACCCCTCTGCCATGTACACTGGCCAAACTGGACAGTCTCTACGTAAAAGAATAAATGGACACAAATCAGACATCAAGAATTCAAAAACCAGTCGGAGAACACTTCAGTCTCTTTGGTCACTCGATTACAGACCTAAAAGTTGCAATTCTTCAACAAAAAAACTTCAAAAACAGACTCCAACGAGAGACTGCTGAATTGGAATTAATTTGCAAACTGGACACCATTAATTTAGGCTTGAATAAAGACTGGGAGTGGATGGGTCATTACATAAAGTAAAACTATTTCCCCTTGTTTGTTCCCCCCGCACCCCTACTGTTCCTCAGACATTCTTGTCAACTGCTAGAAATGGCCCACCTTGATTATCACTACAAAAGGTTCCCCCTCTCCCCCACTCTCCTGCTGGTAATAGCTCACCTTAAGTGATCACTCTCCTTACAGAGTGTATAACACCCATTTTTTCATGTTGTGTGTATATAAATCTCCTTACTGTATTTTCCACTGAATGCATCCAATGAAGTGAGCTGTAGCTCACGAAAGCTTATGCTCAAATAAATTTGTTAGTCTCTAAGGTGCAACAAGTACTCCTTTTCTTCTTAGTAATATGTCTGTGTGTGTGTCTGTCTCTCTCAATAGGAAAGTGAAGATGGCATCGAAGGAGATGGTGAGTAATAAGTATCTTTGGTCTGTCCTGCTGGGAGGGAGAAGTGAGATGCCTATTCTGAGGCCACTTTGAAAGGCCAGCTGTCTGTCTGCTTCCCCTGCTACAGTCTGAGTGCCTGTTCTGTTTGTTTCCTGTGAAGCATCTAGCGCTGGGCTAGATGGAGCATTGGTCCAGCATTGGTTATGCTGTTCAGCTGGGAGATTGAGGGCCAGTTTAATATTAATGCTTAGCACGTCTGTGGTTTGAATGCTTTGTGTGTCTGTACACTGGACTGTTGATGAGTTATGCCCTAAGTGTTACAATTCAAAACTAATTCATGTTTGGAGAAAACACCATTATTGCAGCATTTATGCCAAACTTCCCTTTTCTCTTCTCTAGCTGTTCTCTCGGATTATGAAAGTGCAGAAGACTCCGAGGTGAGTGTATTCTTTATATTGACACCTAGAATAGTCTTCAGAGCTTCTTTTTCGTGCATCATCTTAGCACAGAAACCAGCTCATATGCCTTGCTGAGTCCTACTGACCCTGGCTGGAGAGTTTCCCTTTGTCTCAAGAAATGGGATGACAGGCAAGGCTTTGCATCCAGCCTGTGTGGTACTTGGGGCTGGCTGTGTTGCATAAATTGTCAAAGTTATAAATGGAAAATCCCACTGAGTGATATCAAGTCTGTCCCTCTGGCCAGTGCCAGAGTATATTATCTTAGTAGAGGATACCAAGGGCAATGGTGGTCAGCACTGGCCATTTTTAAATCCAGGTGGGGTGTTTTTCTAAATGCTCTGCTCTAGGAATTATTTGGGGGTGGGTCTCTGACCTTTGCTAATCAAGCGTTCAGGTCCCAATGGTCCCTTCTGGCCCTGGAATCTGTGAATCTAGCGTTTTGTCTAGCCTGCCTTAAACTGACTGGGTCTCTGGTCCAAGAGCTGCCCTGCCAACAAACAGTACTAGTAGACTTAAAATTGAGGCCTGGCTCCTCTGTGAAAACAAATGGTACAGATCAGGGGACAGACTTTAAAACGGCAGCAGGAGGTAAAGGAAAGGGGATTAGAGCTCTTGCTATATCTTGATTAGCTGTAACTCAGACATAAATATTGAACTTGAAAAGCTTATTCTTTGGCTGAAAGAGTAATACTGAGGCTGAGCTGTGTCCAGTAATGTGGCCTGACCATTCACTTCTCACAAAAGAGAACACTTCTTGTCAGTAATTCCCTCTGTTTGTGTCACTGAGGACAGCCGGTTTGTTCAGTAAGGCAGCCATGACAGCAAACTGGCCTAGTGCCCCGTGGACGGTTTGTGTATGACAGTAGGACTAGGAGGTTGAAGGATGTTTTGGGAAGTTTGCTAGTGGCCATGACCACCTGCCAGCTGTTCTAGGGTCAAAACACTTCTCCCCTGAGGTGTATGGGGTGCTGCATAGCTCAGTGAAACTTTCTGGGGAAAAAGAGCTCTCAAAACAATCAGTGGGGGGGCAGAGAAAGGGGCGGGGAGGAAGCTTGCTTAAAAGTATATAGCTGGGCATGCCATTGCTTCAGTGTATCATTCCCTGCAGTGAATGCACGGGGGCTGCTGCAGGCTCCAAAGCCAGGTAAGAATGTGTGGGGGGAAGTGGGCTCTGAAATCATGAGTTCTTCCCCTCTCTCCGTAGTGTGCCCTTTCCGACTTGCTCAGGATAATACTTTCTCTACAGAGGCCTGTGTTCAAACTGCAGCTAAATCTCTGGAAAATACAGATAATGGGGCTCTAGGGACCCAATAACCATAGCTCCAGAGCAACTGAACTAACCCCCCCCTACACCCCATGACTTTAATGTACTGGCCCTGCTATGTGAGTTAAGTACAGCTCTCTTCTCCCGCTGTACCTAAATATAATGCAAAATCTGTGTTTCCAAACGTAAATAAAAGGAGCAGCAATTCACATGTGAACACGCAGCATTGAAAGGGAAACTAGAGCAGTCGTCGTGTTAATCGTGCAAATACTATTTTTAGTGTGGATTCCAGTCAGAGCAAGGCTTGCAGTCTCCCGGAGGGTGAAACGAGGTCAGACTCTTGCTAGCAGAGTGCTTGGAGTCAGCCAACCATGCAGTTCCAGGGAGTTCAGAAACCCAGCAGTGGCTGGGTCCAGTACTTCAGTGGGGGAAAGGAGAGCTGGTCCATGTGAGCAGCAGAGCCTGATGGCATGAGCCTCCCTTCCCCCCCCTCCCCCCCCTTGGTAGTGTCTCTCACGGTGCTGTACAAAAAAAAATGGCTCTGTGGTGTAGAGATCAGAGGCTCTGGTTGCACTGTGATTTTTCTTCCACATTTACTCTGAATTCTTCTAGACTGTTGGTGGCCTAGGATTGCTCTGTGGTATTTGTGGAGAAAGGAATCAGTCTGGTCTTCCCTTCCTCTGTGTTAAACGGTTGGCCCTCTTTAGCACTGGAAGGAGGTACTGGATAGGGGGCTGGCTGGAGCTGTGGAGATCTAGGCACATAGTCTATAACTCACTGGGGAATCTGCTGCTAACATAACGTCATCTTGTCTCAGCAACTGGATGTTTGTTTTCAGGCTGAGGAAGGGGAGTACAGTGAGGAGGAAAGCTCAAAGGTGGAGCTGAAGCAGGAGAGTAACAATGCCAGTGAATCCACAGGAAAAGCAGAGAAAGGGGAAGAGAAACCTGACCCGAAAGGTGCTGTGACTGGCGAGAGACAAAGCGGGGATGGGCAGGTAGATATCTAATGTGTGCTGTGGGATCCCTGGGGTTGAGGCTGGCTGTACTTAGAAGGGCTGCTGCAGTGTAATGAGTTCTCTGATTTTGATAGGAGAGCACTGAACCAGCTGAGAATAAAGTTGGGAAAAAGGTCCCCAAGCACTTGGATGATGATGAGGATCGGAAGAACCCTGCTTACATACCCCGCAAAGGGCTCTTCTTTGAACATGATCTCCGAGGACAGGCCCAGGAGGAGGAAGTCAGGTAGGTAAAACTCATGAAATTTCCCTGGCTAAAGAGAGGTTGAGTCCTGAGCCAGCACCTAAAACATCACCGCTCTTGGCTTCCGTGTTAAATACTTGGCAGACTGGGAGATTTTCGAAGACTTGTGAGAAGTGGCCATGTGGTGGCCCAGTTGTCCAGTTCTGCCAGGCCTGGCTTTGGTTTCACATGCTCCTAAGGCAGCAGGAACTGGTAATGCTACCAAAGCCCGCACTGAGCCTCCTGCTGCTGAACTGTGACCCTTTTGCTGATGTAAAGGAGTGCTAATGGCTGGTTCCCAAGGAAATCCTGTCTACCTCCCCAAGCTGGCAGGGCAGAGACTCTCTGAGTCCTGAAAGTCTGCGAATGGAGTTGGAGAAGGGGAGGTGTTCCACAGTCTCCCATGCACACCCCTTCCGAGAAATAAGCAGCCTTTGTTTGCATTCTGTACTGTCTGGAACGTCCATGCCCATTCCACCCACATATCCTTGGCTTTGCAAAGACCTGTTGGGTCTCTCCATATCCCTGCTCCAGGCCGAAGGGTCGCCAGCGAAAGCTATGGAAAGACGAGGGCCGCTGGGAACATGACAAATTCCGGGAAGATGAGCAAGCCCCCAAAAGCAGGCAGGAGCTGATTGCACTCTACGGCTATGACATCAGGTCGGCTCACAATCCCGACGACATCAAGCCGAGGAGGATGCGCAAACCACGGTGAGTTGCCAAAGCCTTAGGGAGTCCAATCAGAAGGCCCCTCATGTACTGCGGAGAAAGATCAGCCTTCTTGCAGCCACCGAGATGTTAAGCATCAAACTGGGAAGGACTTGAAGGCGGGGGTTGGGCAAAGAACTAATGGGTGCATGATGTTCTGCTGTATCCGCGTCAGATTGAGACTCAGGTTCCTGGCCTATCTGGGCATCTGGGTGCTGCTTCTCAGGGAGAGGAATGCCTTGGAATTGTGGGGATTCTGGTATTACTAAGGAGCAGAAGCTTCAGGCTCTGGGGGAAGCCAGCTCGAGGATGGGCAGGTAGAATAGGTTGCCTTGGTGTATTGTCTTTGGGAAAGGATCTTAAGGGGTAATTGCAGCCCTGGTGCTCATAAATACCTCCCAGTGGTGCAACTCAGGGGTTTGTTTCTGATCCTTTGCGTTTCCTCCCCCACCCCTTAAGGTTTGGGAGCCCTCCGCAGCGAGAGCCAAACTGGGCCAACGAGAGGCAAAACAAGCCTCCAAGACACCAGGACTCTGATAGTGCTCCGCTGCCGACACGAACCTTCATCAGCCGGCACTCCGCAGGTATGGGTAGGATGCCCCCAGCCAGAAACGTTCCGAGGGTGGGTGGCTACAAAGAGAACCGTCCAAGCTACAGAGCTGTGGAAGCAAACAGCCAGCACCTCTCTCGAACAGGTGAGCAGGCTAAACATGAGAGCAGTTACCGGGCGAGGCGTGTTGAACAAGCCCCGGAGAGAGACCCCTCTCCTGAAGCAGAGAGTGTGCATGTTCACAGCAGTCCTGCCAAGAAGGAAGAGATCATTTTGGAAAGCCAGACCCCAAGTACAGACTCTGTACAGCCGCCACCAGATAGACCCATCGAAAAGAAATCCTATTCCCGGGCCAGGAGGACCAGGAATAAAGCTGGCGATGCAGGAAAGCTGGCAGATGAAGTTCCGCCTCCAGAGGGATTGACACCTGTGCCTCCGAAACCAGTGCAGGTCGTGACGCCCCCTCCGCCTGCGAAGGCCGGTAGTTGGGAGACACCAGTAGAATCCAGCATGGATGGACTCGAGCAAGACATGACTCAGTTGAATCTAACCGAGCAGTCCTGGACCCAAGGACAGCCTCCGTTCATACCGCCTCGGGAACTTCGGGGTAAGTGCCATGGGCCATTGGGTTTTCATTGGCTTTCCCCACTGAGTGCAGCACAGCTGCTGTGGCTATAATGGTCTGACAGTTAATCGGAGCTTGAGGAATAGGTTAATTGTCTACGCGTAAGTGCCAGAGCACCTAGCTTGCTGGAGTTGCAGGCTTTGATCTCAGGGGTAGGTACGTTGAGTTCCATGTGATTTACTCTTGGTTGGAGTAGAACGCTTTAAATCAGATCCTCTCTGCTTTCCATGGATAAGGGTCCCAAGGCCCTTTGCAGAGGAATAAGAATTTACATTGTTGTATTTGACAAGCATTCCCCAACACTCCTTGCTGTTAGGCGGGTTGCTGGCTCGCCTCAATCTCAAAAGCTGCATGTCACTGGTGCCTGTCTGCAGACATCAGTTGGTTTGCTGCTGATACTAAGTTCCTTAGTTTAATAACAGAAGGATTGTGAAACTGCACATAGACTGAAAGACAGACTGGACAGCATGATGCGGGGAGGATTAATGCACGTAAACACATGTAAACTTCTTGTAGGAGCTGAAGGGCTCTAAATGTGGAGCATCTTTTGAGAGGAAGTAGGGAAAGACTTATGGGTCCTTTAGGATATCTGCCCGGTAAAAAGCAGCTGTTATCAATGGGATGGTTGAGTGGATTAAGCAAACAACGTGTGGAATGTTGAATAATAATGACACTCTCCTTGGGAGTACTATGTTCTGGTATAAGCTGCCTCCCCGTAGATAGGAGTAGAGATTGATATGGTCCCAAAACAGTGTTTCGAGAGAGCTGGCGAAGACTCCTGTAATGACAAGAGATTCCCAACCCTCCAGAAAGAGGGGTTATTTAACCTGGAATTCATAGAAAATAAGTGGAGTAATTTGAGGCTGGGGAGAGTATGATAAGAACTAATCATTCCCTCTCTTGCCATGTCTCATGTTGTGAGAACAAGGGGATACTCGATGAAACCGAAGGGCGGTACGTCTGGGACAAACAGAAGGAATTATCCTCCTTTTGTGTACAACGTTCCGTAATTAGCTACGTGTAGCCTGGTACCGCAAACTAAATGGACCAATGGTCTGATTGGGAATGGGAAATCCTCTGTTCTTGTGCACTGAGCTTGGGTGCTAGGCAGTTTCTCCTGCTGCCTGGAGTGGAATCTGGCAGGATTGAAGCAAGGGCACTCATGGCTTGGCTACCCAGGAAAGTTAGACCAATGTAAGCTAAGGTGGGACTTTAAATTGGATACAGTCAAACCTGCATAAGTCATTCTGTGGACACTCTTATGCTGATGAAGGGTGGCCTTTTTTGGGGGAAGGGCTTTAAGCTAAACCAGAAAAATCCGTTTGCACTGGAATAAGTGTCCAGTGTCCATATGAGGTTTTATTGCAGTATAATTGTACCAGTACAACTGGTAATATTCCTACCACATGATCAATGAGACTTGTGTGTATCTGGATAATTCCCTTCTTTTTAAGGCCACTTTAGTTCTGAATAAAGAGCATCCACACCAGGGTTTAATGTGGTTTAACTACTCACTTTCATTCACACCTTGAATTTGGATTAACTTTCCTGAGCATCCCCTTGTAGCAAGCCTTTCCTGCCGCCTCCCATCTCCTGGAGGCGATGGCAGGAGTTAGTTTTTAGGAGGAATTTGGGTAGGTGAACAGGTTTTGGGAGGCATTCCACACACAAACATATATTAACAATGTAACCGGTACCTGTGCATGCCTGATAATTGCCTTGCTCACTCGCACTGTGTTGGAAGTAGCTCTGATCAGTTTCTGACTGTCACAGGGTGACCGGCCCCAGAAAATGAAGCAGATCCAGCTGCCCTATGCCAGACTAGTTGCTCCCAGTTTGGCCAGTTAAGATTTCAGGACAGCATAAGGGGCTATGAAGGATCTGGGAGAATCTGAGAGGGAGCCCCCAAGTAATTCGGGGCACACTGGTTCAGTCAGGAAAAGCAGCCGGTGAGAATGGGCAGAGCCTGGGGGATTGGAGGTAATAGTAGGGGCCAGAGCCAGGCAGGGCTGAAGGCAGGAAGAGCAGCAGAGAGAGTTGCCTATGAATGTCTAAGCCAGAGACCTGAAGCTGGGGGCTGACAGCAGGGGGGCCAGGGGCGTGAGGGATGCTCCCTTGGCGAGGCTGATCTCCAGCAGAGAGGCAGTGGGGGTTCCTGCTGGGAGGAGCAGGTTTGTACTCCAGCTAAGGTGGCTGTCCTGGCAGAGGGACAGAGGAGGACTGACACAGAGTCCGGGGGTGGTGGAAGATGCTGGAATGTGTTGTGGAATGGCCGAGAGGATGTGATTTTTAAGGACTGCTTGCAGTGGGGGTGATAAATGGATTATTAGAACTCGGGATTTGGACAATTTACACTCTGGTTTTCATAATAAAACGGCTCCAAGGAAGGGCATTATTGAAGCAAGAGAGGCTGAAGTTGGAGTCCTTGGGTTGCCTGACAGGGGAAACTGAGGCAGACGCACTTGTGGCGTGGCCTGCCACATGAGGGCACTTGGGGTGGGGGTGGGGGGTTAAACCTATGACACGGAGATTGAGATTTTACATGTAGTCAGAGTTCAAGGCCAGAAGGGACCTCCCAGTCTTCTAGTCTGACCTCCTGTCACAGGCCACCCACACCACCGCAGCCGCAGGCTAACCCCAGCCAGCGAGAATGAGATCGAAGTATCCCAGCCCTCAGGAGACTAGATTATTTTGTGCCATAGACAGAGAATAGGGGTACTGAGGTCCCTGCAGTGGCTGGGAAATGGGACACCCCCAGATAATCCTGGCAAGTGACCTGCATGCTGCAGAGGAAGGTGAAAATCCCCCTGTCACTGCCCATCTGACCTGGGGGAAATTCCTTCCCAACGCCACACATGGCGATCAGTTAGAGCATGGGAGCAAGAACCAGCCAACCAAGTGCCTGAGAGAGAATGTTCGGTGCCATCTCTGAGCCCTGGCCCACCCCGGCCAGTGCCCATCTCCAGAACAAACTCCAAATACATTCCCTTCCTTGACCCCTGTGTGGGGCTGGCTGGATCCCTGAAGCATGAGCTTTTGGGAACATGAGATGTAAAGAGGAAGTGAGCCCCATGGCTGCTGAGCCCTGCCCCCCACCATCACAAGCAACCCTGTCATCCCATCACACTCCTAAATTTGTCCAGCTGTCCCCACAACTCCTGGCGTGTGACCTGCTGCTGCTTGAATTTGAAAACAGATGATTAGAAACCCATGATAAGGGCTGTCTTGCTTAGTGAGTTTCAACTGGAGCTATAGGGCTCCACAAAGATGCTTGTTTATGATCTAGACACAATCCTGGCCCCAGACTCTCCCAATAGGGTGAGAGCTTTCATCTGAGAGTAGGAGTTGAAGCCAAGATGTGTTTAGGAAGAAGCTAGCAGACTTGGTCTGTGTTTCTTGTATAATTTATCCAGGATATTTCATTTCAGGATTCTCCTCTTCATATATACTTTGTACAGCCACAGAGCCAATCGCGCAATGGTAAAATAATTGTAGAGTCCCTTTGTACTCAGTACTGAAATGTATAAAACCTTAACTTCTCTAATACCTGCTGTAGTTTTAAGGACGTTATCATCGTCAAAGCTCCTTATGATATATACATTTTCACTGAAGTTTGCAAGGCATATGTTGTTCTTACTGCAGTAACTCCTCTAAAACAGTGACATTTTCTGTACTGCGTTTCATGTAAGTGGGCAGATGACTTCTAGCAATGCCTCTGATGCATAAGATCACTTACTATTGAAGACAAGTGTAAGACTTAGTAACCAGTGTGTCTCTTTTCCTAGGTATTCCTAATCATATGCACATGGGAGCTGGACCACCACCTCCGTTTAACAGGATGGAGGAAATGGTAAAGCTGGGAATCTTGTATGGAGTGTAACTTTTCTTTTTAGTAATTTTAAGTCAACGTGTTGATTTGATTCTGTGCTGTAATGGTTTGAACCTGGCTGCGGCACACCAGCATTTCTCCTTTCCTTGTGTAGACGCGTTTACCATTTTGTTTTTTTAAGCTGAATGTAGATTTCCAGGTAGGTTGGGTGGGTAATGCTGGATAGAGCAGTGACAAATTCCTCTTTGTAACTCTCTGTGGCTCACAGAAGCCTTTGAACTCTTTCAGGGAGTACAGGGGGGCCGTGCAAAACGTTACTCATCCCAGCGTCAGCGGCCACCAGTTCCAGAGCCTGCTCCCCCCATGCACATCAGCATCATGGAAGGGCACTATTATGATCCATGTGAGTGACCTCTGCAGCTCCAGTTCCTCTTCACTCAGTTCTTTAGCACACTCAGAAATGAGCTTTCAGTGGGGGGGATGGGTGGGGTTCCCGGCTACTTAAGAAGCTGCTCCATCAGTGGGAAGGGATATGTGGTGTTTTCGTACAGACATAAAACCAAGTTAATTATTGGGAGCTTTTCATGAGTACTTGAAGAGATCCTTCCTCTTAAATGGGACATGGTCAACTAGTTATAGATCCAATATAGAGATGGTTACAATTTCGAAGCTTAATATGAAATGATTTCCTGAAATCTTTCTTAAACGTCCATGACAAGAGTTTTCTGGATTTAATCTCTGCCCTAGTTTGTAAAGCACCTACCGCCATTACCTTCATCATTGTGTGGTCGTCTGCAGCTTTGGAAACTCAGCCGTTGTTCTAGATCATGAGAAGTGGAAATTGAAACATGGTAGAAATCATTTCATTGACATTTTATGAGGGAAAGATTGGGGAGTAAATGAGATGCTGAAAATCAGTCTAGAAGTTCAAAGCATTAAAGGAGGAAGCTACGTAAGTGGTGTGTGTTCCATTACAGATAGGTTTCAGAGTAACAGCCGTGTTAGTCTGTATTCGCAAAAAGAAAAGGAGTACTTGTGGCACCCTAGAGACTAACCAATTTATTTGAGCATGAGCTTTCGTGAGCTACAGCTCACTTCATCGGATGCATACCGTGGAAACTGCAGCAGACTTTATATACACACAGAGAATATGAAACAATACCTCCTCCCACCCCACTGTCCTGCTGGTAGTAGCTTATCTAAAGTGATCATCAGGTTGGGCCATTTCCAGCACAAATCCAGGTTTTCTCACCCTCCACCCCCCATTACAGATAGGAGATAGCTGGGAGCCCTCCCTCTGTTGGGATCCTGTTGGGCATGTGATCCCATTACTGGATGGCATACGCAGTTGGCAGCGTTTCTAATACAACAGCTCTCAAATGCTGTGGCTCTCTTTGACTTCTGTAATCAACGTGACTCTCATTACAGCAGAATAAGCTAAATAACGTTTGTTTCCTCGCAAACCGTTTTCTCTTGCAGTGCAATTCCAGGGACCAATCTACACACACAGCGAGAATCCTGCCCCGTTGCCACCCCAGGGTATGATTGTACAGCCAGAAATGCACCTCCCACATCCAGGTGAGCCACCGTCTCTCACCTCCCTGCCCTCACCAGCAAACTTGCTAACCTTGCATTTGGGGAAGGTCCTGTCTGAGCACAGGCCTGGGAATCAAGAACTCCTGAGCTGTAATCCAGCTCTGATGTAGACTCCCTCTGGCCTGGGCCCAGGCATTTAACTTCTGTTTCCCCATCTGTAAAATGAGGCATATTCACCTACCAGCTCATGGCTAAACTAGTGGGCATCTGCATTGCATTTTGAAAATGGAAAGCGCAATGTGAACGTTGCTGATCTGTTTAAGTCTAAAATCAAAGGCCCTTCAATTTCATAGCCATTTACGGTAGCATCTCTGAATATTGAGATGAAGGTTGACAAAGGTGTGTATCCATTTCTTAAGCATTAGATCATAGAGTATCAGGGTTGGAAGGGACCTTGAGGTCATCTAGTCCAACCCCCCTGCTCAAAGCAGGACCAATCCCCAATTTTTGCCCTGATCCCTAAATGGCCCCCTCAAGGATTGAACTCACAACCCTGGGTTTAGCAGGCCAATGCTCAAACCACTGAGCTATCTCTCCCCCATGCTCTCTCCCATGGTGCTGCTATGAATAAGTGATGTGATCTTTGTTAAATGTCATATATGTCCATGTAAATATGTTTTGTTAACTGCTGCATTTCCTTTGCTTATGGCCAGTGCAGGTCCAAGACCTCTTGAGGGTGTCTTGGAAACTTCTGGGTAGAACATTGCTGGTTTTGTGCAGAATAGTTGGCTAAGTCTCATCCCCGTTTTAACGGAAAGCTTGAAGCAGCCCATCCCCCTCCTCCTTCTGGATGGGAAATGCTTTGTTGCTTCTCTGACCCAGCAGCAATTAGATGTGAAGGATCCCAGAAATCAGGGAGACAGCAGGTCTCTTCGACTTGCCCAAAGGCTAATGCAGGATTGTTTCCCCCATAGTAAGTAACTTACTGGTACACTGTCCAGTCCGTTTTAATATGATCCATATGTTAGGAGACTCACCACTTTCTTGGGAAACTGGAGGCCGCTGTCAGCATTCTGCTATTTGTGTGTGAACTTTCCTGTCTTTAAACAGTGCAGGAGTTAGTCTGTCATGATCGCGAGCCAAGCAGTCTTTCACAAAGTGCTCTTGTTCTATAAGCGCCCTCCTTATTAAGATAGCGAAGGTCAGAGCAAGGCTAACCCAGAGATGCTAATTCACTTTGGCAACCAAACAATCCCAGCCTTCTCCGAGGATGCGTTGGTTTCAGAGGTGACATTCCATATGGATTTATTTTGTTTCACTTCCTAGGTTTACATCCACACCAGACACCAGCACCTTTGGCTAACCCTGGCTTATATCCTCCACCAGTCTCCATGCCTCCTGGGCAACCGCCCCCACAGCAGCTGCTCGCACCCACCTATTTCTCCCCTCCCGGAGTCATGAATTTTGGGAATCCCAGTTACCCCTATCCCCCAGGAGCACTCCCACCACCACCACCTCCCCATCTGTATCCCAGCTCACAGGTAAGCTGGCTACAGCACGCTTCGGTTGTCTTAAGCAGCAGTTTTTTAAGCATGGAGCTATGGAATCCTATCCCGGTTGGGTCCATATGTTGTAAGGCCTTTGAGACAGCCTGGAGTAGCAGCTGGTCTCCCTGCCATGTGGGGTTGCTCCCTAGAGGAGGCAACACACTAGGTTATTAAAGCAGACTTAAGACTAAATCTTAGTAAAGAGCATGAATGAGGAAAACATCTTGCCTTCCTACTCATTTTGGGGAACAGAAGGAGCCTGATCTGACCTCCCTGGTTCACCCACACTGGGACCGCATTTGAATTTTAGTTGTAAACTCCCTGATGGCATGTGGTGGTTGTATCATTTGGGTCAAGAATTTAAATTCTCTACCAGGGCAAGAGAACCAGGAAATTGAAGCTGCCTAGAAGTACATTAACTAGATGGGTCTGTTCATGGTCCAAGCTAAGCCAGGCACAGAGAATTACAGGATTCTCTTTTAGAGCCTACTTCCTTTTGCTTGTAAACCAAGACAGCAGGCTGGACACGGTCTGGTGTTTGTGATCTCAGCAATGTGGTAGCCCAGAGGCCACTTTTGGGCCAGGAAAAACCTCTGTGACATCACAGTTCCAAAGGTTTGGGAAAGGTTCTTGTGTGAATTGCTGGAAGCCAGATGGGGGCTCTCTCTTAACTGCCAGGCCTGTACGTCCACTGGCTCAAGTCCTGTAGCCATATAGTGTTTGTCTCGAGGTCTTGACTTTCTGGGGGCGTGTGAGCTTTTCCAGGGCATCCTGCTAATGATGGGAGTTGTGGCAGGTCAGAACCTCCTATCGCTGAGGCTGTCTTGCAAATGGCACACGGGTGACACTCAGTGGCAAGACAAAAGAGGTGCAGTTTCTTAACCTGCCTAAACAGTTTTGACCTTTCCCTTCTCTGCTGGCCTAGCTGAAAAGAGAAAGTTTGAGCTGGAGTAAGCACAGGACCCCAGGGCTCCTGGACATGGTCTGGGTATGATGGGGAATTATCAGCTACCTTGAGCACAGACCAGTTGTTGTTTTAAAGTGGAAACATGATATGACCTGTGGAAAAACCATGCAGGGCATAATGACCCCATCTGACCTTACCATCTAAGAATCCAACCAGCTTCGCTGTAGGCTGACCCAGTCAGACAACTAACCCTGGCAGCAAGGCCTCTGCCAGTGACCCTGGACTGCCTGGGCAAGCCGCCTGGAGTGGAGTGTGCTCCTCTAGCTCACTCCTTTTTCAGGTGTTTGCAGACAAAGCTTGGCACCTGCATTCCGCAGCGCACCGTGAACCCTAACCGGCTGCGCTCCCAGGGCAGCTCTGCTCCCTTCTGGCTTTAGAGGATGCTGTTTTTAAAGCTGTTTTACCCTCTAAAGAAAGCCAGGCCGAAGCCTGCGGACGCCTGGGCAGCTGCACCCTGCGTCCTGTCCCATGTCAGGAAGAACTGACCCTTTCTGTTCTTTGGGAGATGCAGGCCCAGGCCCAGGTGTATGGAGGGGTCACCTACTACAACACTGTCCAGCAGCAAGTACAGCCGAAACCTTCTCCTCCACGAAGAACATCCCAGCCCGTGACTATCAAGCCGCCGCCTCCTGAGGTACTGACCCCTCTGCCGTGCGCTGCTGTGGGAGACCCTGTGGGAGCCGTTTTCCCAGTGGCCTGCGATGTCTCTCTCTCCCCCCCTCCCTCTCCCCCCTCAAGAAATGTGTTGTTTTCAAGAAAATCTTCAACTGTCTAACCTTTTGACGTGTCCCAAACTCCAGCTTCTCGTTGCAGGTTGTAAGCAGGGCTCCAGTTAATTTGAGTTTCTAAATACTTTAAATCTAAACCCACGTACAAAGTAAGTCCCAAGTTGACTCTTGGTTTCCTTTTTGTTTAGAGAAAAAGATACTTAAAATCCAGTTCTCACTTAGGAAATTGTGATTTCTTGAGAAAAATAAATGCTGACCCCTTGACCGTGTAGAGGCTTAAGGGGCAGGTTTAAAGTCTGTACAGAGACGATGAGAATCAGTTCTCTGCTGAGTACCATTTACCCTCTCCAGCACTACGCACTTGTGTGTGTTTTGGTGTCCTTGTAAATGTCGTCCAGTGCACAGTAAGAGTTTATTGAGCCTCAGTCACAGCGTGTGCAGAACCACGGGGTCGCTTTCCGTGCGTCAGGAGAAGAGGCAGAGGCCTGGGATCGATTCCTGGCTCTGCCACAACTCACTATGTGACCTTGGGCCTTAGTTTCTCCCATCCATAAAATGGGAAGAATGTGCACCTTTGTTCAGTGCTTTGAGATCCTCTGATAACAGGTGCTTCCGAGATGCCTGGCTTTAACCAGTAACAGTGAGGAAATCTCAGGTCCCATCTCCTCACTGGCCTATTTAACGTAACCACTGTGCAGACAGAGTTTGCCTTGAAGTGAGATCCTGGAGGTTGAATCTGGTGGCGCAGCCGAGACAAAGGGCGGTGGGAGGACGATGGCTGCTTTCTAGTGCCCTGGTGTGGGGAACATTTGACCCACCTAGGTGATAAAAGTGACCCTGTGCTGAGAGCTTGTGAATGGTGTGGAGAGCGTGCTAACCTTGTGGCTTGCATCCTCCCCCTCTAGGACAGCACAAGTGAAAAATCGAAGGAAAGGAGCAATACGTAGGGACACCCACCTCAGAAGTTCCAGCCCCGGAATCGGCACCGCCAGCAAGCAGGAAGCTCTGACTCAAGAGACGTCCCCTTCTCCGTGCTTAGGTGAGGCCAGCGGGCCCCCACCTGCAGCGCCCTGCCGCATCAGTATTGTGCCCAGGGCCGGGCACTCTTCCCTCTTAGGTGTTTAGTGGGGCTCTCCTGCAAACCGCCTCTCTCCCCGCTGCCCCCATTCATTGGGTCATGGAGGGCGTTGAAATACTGAACACAAGGGTCGCTCCTTAGTTACAAGTTCTTGTGATTCCCCTTCCCCTGTTATTAAATGTTTGGCCTTTTCCCATCGTAGCATATTGAATGAAGCTGGCTTAGTTCTGTCCTGGTTTTTTGTTTTAAAAACGAACTGGCCCTTTCTGTTAAGCTGGCTATAGGAATCTCTGTTGGTCAGATAGCCAGGAATGTAACCACCTCCCCAAGGAAATATCTGATGTTACTTTGTTTCTTCAACTCTGAAATTAGCAAGTTTATTTCTGCCATTGTTTAAGCTTAGATGTCTGGGAAAGGGCCGCTGAGTGTTAGCAGTCTGACAGGAACACGCTGGCCGTTGTCACCACTTAATTTAGAAGCTCCTCCTCTTTCTTTCTGGAGCGAGCCCTGCTGGTAACTGTGTTGTGGGAAGTTTCTGTTGTCCAAGTGTGTGCAAACTCTCAACCTGAAACAGACTGGAAGCAGCATGCGCCGAGGCAGGGCAAAGTCCAGTCTCGGCTGCCCCACCAGTGCACGCTTCATCCAGCAAAGGCAGAGTTCCTGCTGCCTTGGGACTCTCCACTAAATGGGACCCAAAGAGGAGCATGCAGCTTTCCAGGCATGCCCTTGGTTTTCTGAAGAGCTGTCCTCTTGCTTGCAGGCTGCTTTTCCTTCAGCCTTGTTCTTGGGCAAACCGGCTCGGCAGGATAATCCTGTGTACAATTTGTACCCAGCACTTGGGTGTTGCTTCTGTGTAAGTGGAAGGTGATGCAACCAGCCTTAACAGATCCACTTCCAAGGACGGGGGCTGCTCGGTCTGATCCCCAAGGAGGAACACTGGCTGTGCACATACCATAAATCGGTTCCTCTCCCATTAGCTCTGAAATAGCCTTGATCCCTGTTTTAGGAGTCCGAAGCCTGGCCCTGCAGCACTGTGGTTGATGGAGCAGCCTGGCTTGCCCATGCCGCAGCGATCTGCGGTCGCGTCTCTGCAGCATAGATCCTGCAGGGACCGCTGCACCGCTCCCAGCTACACTCAAGCTTGGCTTTGGCCTCTCAGCTGTTTGCAAATTGCGTTAGGGGAACTTGGCACAAAGGTTGCTATTCAGCCCTGGACACGTTGGGGCAGCGCGCATCTGAGTCGTTCAGCGAGTTACTATAAAGCAAGCGGTGTCTTGGCCTGTGAATTCCCAGCCACGGGGAGAGGGAGGAAGAGCCCCCACCTGCCTGTTTCGGGTTGAGAGCGTTTCACGCAGATGTGGCTTTCGAATGGAAGTACTTTTTTGTTGGTGTTTGTAATTTAACAACCTTTTGTACTTAGTTGAAATTAACTCAAATGGCATTTTAAAACAAATCCTTTACATTTTAAATGTAAACTGTTTCTCTGCCTTACGGCTGAAATGTATCATTTAACATATCGGTCGCGGGACTGACGTTCTAGTCCTAACAACACTGTGATGGCTTTTTTGTTCCTGTTCTTTTGGAGTGCGCACTTGTAACCAACATTGTAATGACTAGGTGGAGATGACAATACATCTTAGAAAGTAACTGGTGCTCTGGGTCTGTCTTTCGTGCTGCAGGGTGGTCTCAGCAATAGCTTGCCACGAGACCTGGTATTGAGCTATCGTCTGGAAGGGCGGATGTCCCCTCTGCCATACAACTTCAGAAATGCTTGGAAAACAAGGGTATTAGAACCACCCTAATTTCCGCCTCCCCAAGCTTCTAGCACTGTTGGAAAACCAAATCCCGTTCTTACCACTTGGTGAAGCTCCCCACATGCTCCTCTCCATGCTGACTAAGTGCCATTTTTAATCATGCAGTCACTGCCCTCTCCCTCCCGAAGTTGAGCCCTCGTGCCCTCAGCTCCCTGCGTGAACGATCAGCAGAACAAAGCGTAGCTTCGCGCCGTGGTTTGTGTGTTACATCCAGGGGGCTACAAAACAAGACTGTTCAGAGTGCGGTGGAATTGCGGCTGCCTAGGTGGTGCTGAGCACGCACTTGCATAGCGCTCGGCAGGAGTGTAACGACCCTGCATCCAGCGCCGTGCTTCCGCAGAGCATTGCAGGGCTGTCTGCGTCTGGCACGCCAGGGGGGCTGGGCTTCCGCTGGTGTCTGGGATAGGTTGTGAAAGAATCCGTACCATGGAGGCAGCTTACCCTGGGCTGTTCGGTTGGGCCCACGTGAGAGGCACTGAGGTTCCCTTTGGGCTCAGCGTAGGAGGAGTGGGTGAGATGCTGGAGGTGGGCAGAGCTGAGAGAGGCAGATGGGGTGGGCAGCTTTTAAACCTCTTTGTGGAATATATGAATGGGTCTGGTGCAGAGGTTCCCAAACGCTGCTCTGTGGGGAGCAACTGGGTCACATGGCATGGGCTCTCCTTTTCCACGGCGGCGATTGCTGTAGCTCTAGTGGAACAATCTGCAGTCCGGGGCGGGCTGGCGCAGGGCAGGGGTCCCGAACTCGCCTCTTGAGCAAGACACTTAACCTCTGTCAACCCTCAAGGGCAATGGCCTGTGTTAGACATGAGTTGAGAGCCCTTCTTTGTGTGCTAGCAGCTGGCCAACAGAGGGCAGCAGGGGCAAGCAGAGAATTTTGTAGCCCTTTCAAGGAGAACTTAAGAACGGCAACGCTGGGTCAGACCAAGAGTCTCTCTACCCCAGCATCCTGTCTTCAGATGTCGTCTTTAATCTCTCCTATGGAAGCTGTTCCAGACCCCTGATCATTTTTGTTGCCCTTCTCTGCACCTTTTCCGATTCTAATATCTCTTTTTTGAGATGGGACAACCAGAACTGCCTGCAGTGTTCAGGATGTGGGCGTACCATGGATATATATAGTGGCATTCTGATGTTTTCGGTCTTATTGATCCCTTTCCTAATGGTTCCTAACGTTCAGGTCACTTTTTTGACTGCCACTGTACACTGAGCAGATGTTTTCAGGGAACGGTCCATGGCAACTCCCAAGATCTTTCTTGAGCGGTAACTACTAATTTAGACCCCATTGTTTTGTATATGTAGTTGGGGTTACTTTTTCCAATATCCATGGTTAAGAAAGAGGGAATTCAAACTGCAAGGAAGGGCTACTCAGATGATATGGGGAATGGAGAACCTACCATACGAATCTGCCCATTTTCTCCCCCCGTTTAGTGAGATCCTTTGGTAGCTCTTCGCAGCCAGCTTTGGACTTAGCGACCATGAGTCATTTTGTATCATCTGCAGATTTTGCCACCTCACTGTTCACCTGCTTTCCCAAATCATTAATGAATGTGTTGACCAGCCCAGGCCCCACTACAGCTCCTTGGAGGACCCCCGATTATTACTGCATTTTCTGCCTTTGTCGCCTCTCTCATCTCCCTGAGCATTTCACAGTCCCTGGCACCATCCTGATCTGGTGGTCAGTAGGATATTCCTTCTGCTCCACTCTTTTGATTCAAGCGTGGAATCTCTAGCCATTGAGCTCCTATGGTGTAGTTAGATTCGTTAAAGGTTTTTCCCTTATTTGACTGGATGTTTTCTCTCACGTATGGTGCCGCTCCCCCACACCATGACCTACTCTGTCATTCCTGCTTATTTTATGCCCTGGTATTACCACATCCCATTGATTATCCTCATTCCACCAGGTTACCACTCTGTCTGTTACAGCCATACCCTCATTGAATGCCCCGCGCTCTAGTTCACCCCTCGTAGTCGCTGGATTTCTAGCACTTGTACATGTTGCCAATATTCTGTTGCTTGCCCTCCTGTGTGGAATGCTGACTGGAATGCTACAATGGTCTGTTCTTCACTGACTCCTGCCTGCTCTTACCAGCTGCTTTCCAGGTCTCTGTTCCGATTTGCAGCTGACGAGAAACAGTTCCCTGGCCGGTCAGTGCCCCTGCGTGGCTATTCAGCTGCCTCCTGGACATGGTCGCTGAAGTGCCGCCAGGAGCTATTTTAGTTCTTACCTACAACTTGCTTTCATGAAAGGGTTGTTTCCTTGGCGGGTAAAATCCATGGGCCCAGCTGCATGGGAGGAACTTGGGGGTGTGCCCGACAGACCAGAGCGGCTGCTGTGGCCAATGCAGATGCCACAGTCGATGGTAGCCAAACCACTTACACTGCCCGGCTTGTTGGAAGGCTGTTGCTGGTAGCCAGCTGCTGAGGCAGTTGGAGGTCCTTGCAAAGCAAGTGAGGAGCTGGGTGCTGGCAATGAGTGCTGATCTCTGCACCCTGGCACTGCGTCACGGGTGCAGGGTGCAGCCAGCCTAGGGTGTGAGGTTCCCTGTCCTTCGCCCCACCTTCGGAAGGGCCCGTGTTGAAATGCTGCCCAAGGCAGCGATGAGCAGACCGGGAGCCGTGCTGCTGCAGAGCGCCAGTAAACGTGCTGGGTGGCCCGGCCGCTGGAATGAGGGCTTGGCACGCACCCTGGGAGCCGGGAGGGTGCAGAGCAGGCAGGCCGCCCCTCCCAGGAGCATTCTGGGCAGGCCTTGCCCTTTCAGAGGAGCTGAGGGGGTCTTCGCTGCAGGTGTAGAATGAACCCAGGCCTCCTTACACTCTAACCACTAGCCTCCATGCCCCTCCCACAGCAAGAGCTACAAACTCTCCGTTCATTTCCTGCCCCCTCTGCTAAGCCAGGCCTAGCCAGCGCAGCCCTTTGCTACAGCCCGTCTCACCTGCACCCCAGCTGCAAGGAAGGGACGGTGACCCAAGACAGACCAGTCGGGCTGGGCCAAGGCTTGCTGGGGCGCTGCAGAGGAGAGCAGGGACACCAGCACCTGTTCTCGGATCACACTGAAACCTTCGCATTTTGTTCCTCTAGCACCTGTGGTCCAAAGCTTTCCTGGCACTGACGCTTGCGAGCCAGCTGTGGCGAGGGGACGTGACTTGCCCAGGAGTCCTGGCCACTCGACCCTGCTGCTCACGGGGCTGGGATCTTGCTTCGGCTTGTGGGGCCGACAGCTGGTAAACCAGGTGAAACTGCCCCTTCGCTGTAGGCAGCTGGGTGTGAGTGGGCCGAGCTGCTTACTGGCTGTGACCTCCCGGCTGGGGCCAGTCCCACGCAGCAGAGCCCTGCTGCGTGCACAAGTGGCTCCGAGCTCGATACTGCAGAGGGCGATGTGGGAAACCCCCTGGAGCACGGCTCTTCGAGGATTCAGCCAGCAGCTTCCCCTGGGGACTGCTGCGCCTCCCTGAGTGAAACTGGTTTTGCAGGGCACCTCTGTGAGGGGCATCAGGGTAGCAGCCAGGGGCCTTGGGTGAGGCTGTACAGGCAGACCCTTCCCAAGAGAGCTTACAGCCTAAATACATGAGGGGCAAGAGGGGAAACTGAGGCAGAGAGGGGCAAAGCTGGAATTGGACTGGGTGGGGAGTGGGGTTTGGTGGACAGAGCAGGACTCAACTCTCCTGGGTTCTGTCTTCCCAGCTTTGGGAGAGGGGTATGAGGAGGGGCTTAGAAAGTGAAGCCTCCTGGTCTGTGATCTGTTTCTGCCATGGACTTGCTGTGTGACTGTATGGTGCCCCCTGCCTCAGTTTCCCCATCTCTTCAGCGAATTGTTGATAGATTGTCAGTGCTCTGCAGCAGGGCCATCTTTCTGTCCTGGATTTCTACAGCACCTGGTGTGGGGCTCATGACTGGGGCTCCTAGGTGCTATCATAACAGACCTAATAAATAATGTACACTGCCTGCCATGGCGGGGGGTCCTGGGCTGTGACTGGGGATCCTAGCTCCGGCTTGAAGCCCGTGGAGGAGCTGTATTTTTTCCACACAGGCTGATCTTGTTCTCTGAAACGGGAGGGTAAAATTCCCTTTTCACTCCCAGCACTGCGGCGTGAAAACCAGTTAAAATTCTCGCTCAAACAGAACATTTCCCTGTCTTGAATGCTTGTAATTTTCCCTCCCCCGCACGGTCTGTTGTGAACGGTGCCACGGAAGCTTCACACTCCGCTCCCCGCCGGCTGCTTTTCATTGCTTGAGAAAATTGAACGTTTCATGCCCGGTTTGGGGGGCAGATCCAGTTCCTGGCTCGGTAGGAGAGTTAGCAGCAGCCAATAAATCCATTTGCAAAAGCCCCCATCCCAGCAATGCTTTGTCAGGGCAGGTGTGTTTCCTGTGAGAGAGGGGTATGGGGGGTGGGGCGGGGCTCCTGGCTTTGGGTCCCAGCTCTGTGCCCATATCCCCTCCCTCTGTCTTGGCTGCTCAGGTGGACAAGGACTCTGTCCCCTCGCGAGACGCCCGCGCAGTGGGGCTGGAATATCGGGTGCGCTCGTTCCCTGGGACAGTTATGGGAGCTGAACAGGGTGGGTCTCTGCCCTGCTCCTAGTGGGCAGGTGCATCCATCAAAGTCCTGGGCCTAGAGCTCCTGGGTCCTCCCCAGCAGCTGCTGGCACCAGCCTGTGCCCTCTGTGCCCACTCTCTGTCCCACCAGGTGCTTGGGGCCCAGCCTGCACCCTCCCCTCTGAACACGAAGCCGGGCACTGTCTCAGCTGCACCCGGCTGGCAGCTCTTCTCCAACTCCCCGGCACCATCTGCGTGGCAGGCAGCTCTCGACTCCCATCTGCGGCTCAGCTGGTACGTGCTGTCGCCCTGCTCCTTCTTGCAGTGGTGTGCAGAGCCGGGGGGTATGGGGGGGGGCTCTGCTGGTCCCGGGTGGGGGGGGGAGGGCTAGGGTTAAAAGCAGCTGAGTCCCTGGGGGAGGGGCTGGCACAGGCTGCCAGGCCTCAGCAGTGCCACTTGCAGAGGAGTGGGGCTGAGATCAGCTCCCCTGGGTCATGCTGGGCTGAGACCTTCTACCCCACAGCCGGTAGGAGGGAGGGGACCTGCTAGCCTCAGCCCGCCTGTCGGCCCCAGACCTGGCTCAGGCCTGCTGGTAGCTGGGTCATGCTGAGGCCCCAGAGACCTGGGCAAAGGCCCAGCCAGTCACCCCAGCTAGCAGGGAAGTGGGGAGCCCCTACCTTGGGCTCAGGAAGCTCCGCCTGAAGAGTGCGGTCACAGCCCCCCACCCCCTGCAGGGGGGTACAGAGAGAAGGGAAGAGTTGGTGAGCCAGGGTGTGGAAGGTTTTGGGGGCAGAGGGTTATGGGGGGGATGGTGTTGGGGGCAGGGGATTTTGGGGTCATGGGGTTAGAGGGGGGGTTGGGGCAGAAGTGGGGTGGCATGGGGGGGGTCTTTCTGAGGTAGTGCAGCTAGAAGCTGGACCCAGGAGCAGAAGATCACGCGCACCCCTGGCTCCAGCTGGGGCCAGGAGCCAGGTCCCTCCTGCAGGCGTTGCGGGGAAGGGGCAGGGGGGCGTCAGGCCCGGCACTGGGGGGCTCCGTCTGGCATTGACGGGGAAGGAGCTTTGCTCTGGCTCCTTTTCCCTAGAGGATGTTACCAAGCAACCGGCTTAACATGGCAACACACAGCGCCTGCCGGGAGGAGCTGATGAGATCCCCCCGGGCTCCCTTCCCCTCCCAACTCCCCCCCCCAGTCCCAGTCCGGCCGGCTTTCGGAGCCAGGCAGCGGGGCCCGGTCGCTGGAGCACGGACGAGGCATGTTCCCTGTGGTCCCTGCGTCCTCCCCGCTGCCCATGAGTCTTGCTCCTCGGCGCAGCACGTGACGGGCCTGTGGAACTCCCTGCCACTGGCTGGAGTCAGATGCTGTGCTAGCTGCAGAGGGCGGCATGGCCGGGGGGGGGGACAGATATTTGGGCCCGTTTGTTACCTCAGGCCTGCTGGCACCGACATCCCCCTGGCCCCTCACCAGGCTGGGTCCCCCTTTCTGAGCTCCCCCCGACTGGGGGCGAGGGGGCAGTTTGGGGGTGCTGCAAGGGAGGGGGCACCCTGGCTGGCGGCATCATGTCTCCCCCAGCAGGTGATTGACACAGCGAGTAACTGCTCCCCCCTGCTGCGGCCTTCACTGCCAGTTGCCCAGGGGTGAACCCTCTGCCAGCCCCGAAGGGCTCACTAGGCCCCAGGCGGCTCCAGCTTTGGTTGATCTCCCAAAATACACCTGAGCCCCATCTCCTCTGTCGGCCGCGCTGCTCCGGCCTGGCTGGGCGGCCCTGCTTCTGGGGTGTCCGTTTGGCCGGTGCCTGGAGCTGGGGAGCGGCGCAGCGTGGCCAACTCTTATGGTTTTGTCGTGAGTCTCAGGATAATCATTGCTTTCCTTAAAGCCCCAGCTCCTGGAGTCAAGTGGGTCTGTGCCGATCTCAGCCTTCCTTCTGACAGAGCCAGTAAGTCCCCAGCCCTCCTGGCTGTGGAAAAAGCTGCACATGGGGACCCCAGAGCACCCTAAAAGCTCAACAAGCAGAAGGCAAATAAAGAGCCCCCCAAAGCTGTTACTTTTACATCGTTTCCTGAGTTCAAAGCCCCTCGCATGATTTGCAGGGAGCCTGACTCGTGATGTGTGGCACTGCAGGGCTGTGCCTGGCGGCTGGGTCACGCTCTGCCCCAAATGGCTGGTCCCAACCCCCACTCCATTATCCCATAGGGGCTGAGATCTGGCTGCTGTCTGCGCTCCCACTTTGCAAGGGGGATTTTGGCGCAGGAGAGCTACGGGCAGGGGTAGCAGGCCGGGCTGGGAGCGCGGCCCAGGTAAGGGGAGCCCGGCCCAGGTAAGGGGAGCCCTGCCCCGGCAGGGCCCACCATGTCCTGGGTGGTGTCTGCCCCCAGCCAGACCGGCGGCTGCTTAGAGGCCTCTGGGAATCCGCCCCGAGTGCCCGGGGTCAGCGGAGGGCCCCACCCCAGGCCAGGCCGGGATTCAGCGGCTGAGCCAGGAGTCCAGCTCCCCAGGCTTGAAGCCTGGGCCAGACGTCTGTGAGCCCCAGAGCTGGCGCGCCCCTTCTCAGGTGCGGGTTGTGCCGGGTAATTGCACGCTGGGCCCGTGCCCCCTCCCCCAGGCGGGGCAGCTTCCTGCCCATCTGGGCTCGGGGGGAGGCCCGTGGGGCGCTGCCAGCAAAGTGCCGGTGTCCGTGGGGCACAAAGGTCTTGCCCCAGGAACGGTGGCGTCTCCAGGCCAGCGTTGTGGTTCTGAGAGCAGCTCCAGCCCTGCGGCCAGGGCTGCTGGGACCCTGGCCCTCGCGTGGCCCCCGAGAGCCGCGTGGGCTCCCACAGGAGCGTCTGCAATAATCGTAATTAACGCGCCTCGGTCCAGCCCTGCAGGGGGTGGGGGAGGCGACCCGCTGGCCTGGACCAGGGGCTGGGCCGGGGCTCCCTGGGGCAGGGGCACAAGCTGGCCCCTTTGCCAAGCGGCTACAGTGCTGATGCCAGCTGGGTGCCCTGGGGCAGGACCCCACTTGGCCAGATCCTGGAGCTGAGCTGAGCAGAGGGCGGCTCCTGGAGCTGCCTCGTCTGCTCGGGGAGCTGGGCAGCACTAATGGGATTAGTCGGTGTGGCCGAGCGGGCGCGGCTGGAAGGCTCAGCAGGAATGAGAAGGCTGGCGGGGCGGCGCAGGGGGGTCAGGAGCTGCTGGGGCCTGTGTCTATCCACAGGGCAGGGGCAGGTGGAGGAGCAGGACAGGGCGGGCACACACAATCTCACATACGATCCATCTAGCTGCTGCTTCCCTGCCCTGGTGGGCTCGGGGGTGGGGTGGGGTCTCTCTCTGGCCCACTTGGGCCATGAAGGCTGCTGCAGAGGGGACACTGCGGTGCGGAGGCCTGCTCACCTGGCCCAGCCCCTCACCCTGGCCTCAGGGCTGTCGCGGCCTAAGGTGGGGCCCTTTTGCAGTGAAGGGCCTGGCCGCACGTCCCTGGCCCTGCGCGGTGACTCCTCTGGGGCAGGAATTGGTCCCCCAGTGGCGTGAGCCCCACAGGCCGAAGGACCCCACGCAGGAGCCAACGCCTGGGTTTTAATGTTATTTTGTGGGCGAGGGGCTTTGGGCTGCCCGAGCTGTGGGGGGATGGCTCCAGACCAGGCGACCCCCGGGGCTGGGGGAAGCAGGGGGGTGCATTGGTCCCCAGGGGCTGATTGGTGCAAGCTGGACCCTGGTTGTAAATGTTACCTCCAGCCCAGTCCAGCCCAGCCCCTCTGCCTCCGCCTGAGAGACCCAGAGAGCCTGGATCCCAGGTGCCCGCAGGGCCGGGGAGCTTTGGTGTCAGAGCCTGTCACTGGGCCCCGGCTGAGCGCCACTGGCAAGGGACTGAAACAGCCGGTCGGCTGGTGTCCCCAAGGGCCCCCTCCAGGGCTGGGGGCAGCTGCCACCTGGGCAATGTGTGAGCCAACAGCCGCTATTTAACCCTCCCCGCCCTCCCCAGTCTCTGGGAAGTGGGTTCGGAGGGTCGAGTGGGCTCCTGGGCCCCACCCTTCCAGGGGTGTCTGGGTCCTAGATTGAGGCACAAATCCCAGCTGGTGGGGCTGGTCCACTAACAGCTGTGCGGGCGAAATCCACCACAAGGGTCAGAACAACTGACAGCCGTGGGTCAGCTGAGCATCGGGCTGGGCTAGCAGGGGCTGCGGGTCGGGAGTGAGGGGCACCGGCAGAGCTGGGGGTGGTGGGGAGAACCCAGGAGTTGCGGGTCGGGAGTAAGGGGCACCGGCAGAGCTGGGGGTGGTAGGGGGAGCCCAGGGGCTGCGGGTCAGGAGTGAGGGGCACCGGCAGATCTGGGGGTGATGGGGAGAGCCCAGGGGCTGCGGGTCAGGAGTGAGGGGCACCAGCAGAGCTGGAGGTGGTAGGGGGAGCCCAGGGGCTGTGGGTCAGGAGTGAGGGGCACCGGCAGATCTGGGGGTGATGGGGAGAGCCCAGGGGCTGCGGGTCAGGAGTGAGGGGCACCAGCAGAGCTGGGGGTGGTAGGGGGAGCCCAGGGGCTGCGGGTCAGGAGTGAGGGGCACCGGCAGATCTGGGGGTGGGGGGGGGAGCCCAGGGGCTGCGGGTCGGGAGTGAGGGGCACCGGCAGAGCTGGGGCGGGGAGGGGCACCGGCAGAGCTGGGGGTGGTAGGGGGAGCCCAGGGCTGCGGGTCGGGAGTGAGGGGCACCGACAGAGCTGGGGGTGGTGGGGGGAGCCCAGGGGCTGCCGGGTCAGGAGTGAGGGGCACCGGCAGAGCTGGGGGTGGTAGGAGGAGCCCAGGGCTGCGGGTCGGGAGTGAGGAGCACCGGCAGAGCTGGGGGTGGTATGGGGAGCCCAGGGCTGCGGGTTGGGAGTGAGGGGCACCGGCAGAGCTGGGGGTGGTGGGGAGAGCCCAGGGGCTGCGGGTCAGGAGTGAGGGGCACTGGCAGAGCTGGGGCGGGGAGGGGGAGCCCAGGGGCTGCAGGTCAGGAGTGAGGGGCACTGGCAGGGGCTTGCACACTCTAGTTCCCAAGAATTGCTATTGGCCCCCCCCTTCCATGACTGTTACAAACTCAGGCGTTTCCATGACAATGGCTGTAAGCAGGGCCCCTCCCCCTTTTCATGCCACTTCCAATCTCAATCCCCTCTGGGCCCAGAGGCCTGGGCGGCTCCTTGCCCATCTCATGGGGGCTGCTGACAGCTGGGGGCGCGTGGCTCAGGGCTGGGGGCGGATGAGTGGGAAGGACCCCGGCAGGGAGATGGCTGGGCTGGGGGAGACAGAGCCTCTGCTTCCGCTCCTTCACGCTGCCCCCCAGCCCGGCAGAGCCCGATCCCCATGGGGGGCATCAGGACATGTGTCCCTGCTGGCAGCCGGCATCATCCGGAGCCCCGTGTCTAGCCCCAGCGAGGCCCTGGAGAGAGGGAGACGGGGGGAAGGCCCCATCGCTCATCGGCAAGGTCCCTTGTTTTATATCCACAATTACCGGCCTCCCACACAAAACGGCGCTCGGCTTCCTGCTCCAAGCGGCGGGCCCAGCCCTGCTGCCTGTCCCGGCTCGCCTGGCCTGACATTCCTGTTCCCCTTCGCCTCGCCCGGCTTCCTCCCGCTGGCAGGGAACCGTCCGTCGGCCGGGGCTCCCCAGTGCCCGGGCAAGGCAGCCAGGCAGAGGAGGCAGAACGCTGCCCGGGCCTGCTCGGAGACGTTCTGGGCCATTCTCCAGCCGCCGCAGGAGGAGGGGAAGCTCAGTCATGGCAGCTGAACTCCAGTCCCATGTGGCAGGGAAGGGTGTTCGGGGTGGGGGTGGGAATCGCATTGATCCTGCTCCCCAGGCCATCGGTGGGGGCTGGGCCACACGCGACGTAGCGCTTGACGCTCATCAGCTGTGGGGCTGGATTGAGCTCCCAGCCAGGCCAGCACCCATCTGGAGTCGCTCCGCAGAAACCAAGATCAGGCTCCCACCCCATGGCCCCAGCCCCGAGGGTCTCCTGGTTCACTCAGACGAATACAGCCTCTCTGAGCTGCTCTCCAGCCTGGCTGCTCCCTGGGCACTTGGTCCTTGACCCAGTGGGGGGTGACCCTAGAACGGGATCGAGGGGGGACCAGCCCCTGCCAAGCCATGTAGGAACAGAACGCAGGGTTTGTATGACAAGGGGATGAGCCTGTGGCTCTGGCTGTTACAAACCAACGGGGCTAGTCATGTTGTCTGTGTCCGTCGAGCTCTTTCAATGAAGAGGGTTTTGGGGTGGATTTGAACAATTCTCTGCAATGCTGGGCCTTCAGGCATGCCAGCAGCCTGCTCAGGTAGCTAGCCAGCGAGCTGAGATATTTCTAGGCCATCGGCACTTATGTGCAACTCAGAAAATAAACAGACCCACGGAGCACAGCAAGCAAACTGTGCAAGACACCAGAAAGTGAAACAGATCCCTCTGTGGTGTCTGTGATTTTCACTGGGGCTCTGTCTGTGGGTCTGACCCTGCAAACCCTTCTCCTTGTCAGCCTGTGTCATTCTTGCCCCAGCAGCTCCCCAGCGCTCCCCTCGCTAGGACTCGGTTCCCTTCCAAGGAGATGCCCAAGCAGCCAGGAGGAGCTGTTCCACTTGGAATTTCTGACTGCAGCCAGGGTGCCGCAGTCGGGCAGTGGAGATCCCTGCGTTTTTGTGTCACGCAACACACACAGGGTGCTGCTTGGGCGCGGATTAGAGCCCAGTTAAGCACACGCTTAAATCCTCCATTCCTCGAGGATGCCGAAGCACGTTGCCGACCTGGGGCCGAGCTGCGAGAACAGCGAGAGCATCCAGCAGTGCGAAGGGTTCTGTGCAGGCCGAGCGTTAAGACGCCGGTCCCTAGCGGCTGTGAATAGCGATGGGGCTGGTATTAGACCCAGCTTTAAGAATCCATTAAAAACACGCTATCAAATGCACTGGCAATAAACTCTTCGTCCCTGGGGATGTTGTGACCCAGGGTCAGCAAGGCTCTGAGAACGGCCGCACGCCAGAAAACGCTCCAGCCCCCAGCGTGATTTCACACGTCGCTTTCAAGTTCTTGTCAAGCAGCCAGGAAAGAGGCACGTCAAACACCAACCG